GACATAAGCACCCAGCTTCGAAGAAGACCACACTCGTAGGAAGGATTACTTAAGTAGTGTGGATTTTCTCCTTAAATTTTCGATTTTTTCGGAAAGGCAAACATGCCTCACAGGAAGCGTCCGCAAAAGCATCCTTCCTTATAATCATTCTGCATAAACGTATGTCTCCCTCAAACGTTTCTCTCGAAGAAAGAGCGTCCTTTTAGTTTTAAAAACCCTTCAATGCCCCATTACGGTCACAAATCTTCGCAATAGATATGGACTCCGGTGTGCAGCTCAAAAGATACATTAATAAAATACAGATAAATTCCCAAATGAATATCCTAATTACATTTTTTAAAATGAACAACTGCGGGAATACGGTGTTCTCAGCAAAAATTCTGTGCACTAACATAGAACCGACTGTCGGTGTACGAGCCGGAACAGGCGTTCGCAAGTTCCAAGGGCTTATCTAAAGTATGCTTTTCTATCACAGTGCTCCCTGATTAGTGATAACGGAAGTAACTTGGACGCTAATCGTTTTTTTTCCTTTTGCTTCTTTTGCAGAAAACGTACACCTTGTCGTCTTCCACAGACCTTCAAAGGTTGAATACCTTTTCACCTTTTCTACAGTCTGAACTATCCACCGATGTGCCTACGCAATATGTCTCCTGTTCTCATTGACAACATGATCAGCGTCCTAATGATAACCCTTTGGGCTCACCCACTTGCTGTAATGTGTGCATTGAGAGAAACAACCTCCCTGCACCGTTATACTTTTTGTGATCTCTTCCCGCCGTATTTTCTTATTTTGCCTGTTTGATTTTTATGCTCAATCCTTGGAATTTCCCTACCACTCTCGGCTATTTGGCATGTTTTGTTAAATCTCGAGCTTCACAAATGCACTTTTTGGCAGGAAGCAAGGCTTCTGCTTCTTACATACCACCACCACCACCACCACCACCACCACCACCACCACCACCACCACCACCACCATTGTTCTGCTGGTCGCCGTGACCGCGCTTCCAAGGGTCTCTAGTCGACTTCACTCTCGTCCTCACTATGTGTTGGCGGCGAAGACGGGGGACTGCGCTAGGACTGTTTTCATAGGTGTTGGCACTTGCGTTGGGACGCATGCTTAATTGTCAAACTAGGGCGCCGCGTCAGTCTGGAACGCGCAGGTGCAATTTTGGCAGGGTTGGGCAACTTTGACGTCGTTCCACGTTTCCGGTTGCACCTTTTGATCTCGCTATTGTTGGTTTTTGCTAATGTGTCTCACGCAGCCTCATAAGTGCTCTGCGGACATATGCGAGGGCGCTAGCCGTGTCTCTGCGCTCTAGCCTTGTGGTCTTGTCACTCTTCCTCCTTGACTCTTGCATCCCGTCAGCTTCGAGGATCGCAAGTTGATTGTGGTCAGGAGGTCGGCAGGCCTACCGGTAACGCGCAGTCATCGGCGATGTCCGCCGATCTAACTGGTTTCAAAAGAACGGTACAAACTAACAGTGCGCCCCAACCGGGACTGCACCCGCATCATTTAGCTAACGGGTTCGAAGAGTGAACTGGTGCCTGGGGGAGGAAAGAGTGTAATGCCGACTTTCTCTCACTTCAAGCAACCTGACGTACTTTAATTTATCAAGGCATGCTAAATGCCCCGGCTTGGAAGACTGCCAACTGGCGGGATAACTCAGGACGGAGAGTAGGACTCCAGTGGCTCCTGGTTAGTGCCCTTTTACGGCATCTCCATTTAATTTTAACCCGAGCGACCGTCTTGTTTCCGTGGGGACCCAGTCCTCTGTGCTCATTGGAGGCGTGTGTGTGGCACGCGCAGACGGGCTTTGATCCTGCCTCCTGTCCTCCTGACTGTCTTGACACGGATCACAGATGGGCGTGGGAGGAGAGAGCGCAGTAGATGCTTCATAAGTTTTCTGTCACTGTAAATTACAGTTAGTGAGCAATCTCATGAAATGTTAACGGGGATTCTGAAATATGTTTTAACTCGAAGAGATTACTCAAGCAGTGTTTTGATATTATCATGCAGCATGGTCACAAGATGTTTAGGCTACGCCGAGGTGTCAGTCTTTGAATGAGCCTCCGTTCGACCGTCTGTAAAAACTACATTCCGTAAGAAATGACTTCTTATGTATTAGGGTATTTTCCGACTGATTTTCGGTGCATCTATAAATTATTGAGCTCATTTGCTAGTAAACTGCGTTTTCATATTTTCCACGCGAAGTGAAAGTTCCTTTTTCGGTTTTTAGGGACTTTTTAAATTCCCGAATTCACACCTGCCTTTACGGTTGCATTCAGGGTTCTCAAACTACATGCTGCATATATTCCGTCAAATAGTGTCGTACTTCTCTGCTCTGTTAGAAAGACGTCGTATAGGACTTACCAAATTCCGCAATGAATGTGGCTCAGACTGTATACTTCATAAGTAGCAATTAATAGAAACGTTGATCAGATAATATATGAACGGACATTAAACGGCCTTAAAAAATCTCATTATCTTAGAATTTTAAAACCAAAAGATATCCTCATTTCAAGTAGAAAATTTGGAAAGGACACCATTTTCTATCACATTACCATCAGCAAAAATATTTTCGTGCGTATTTTCTACAAAATATAACTGAATTTGTAAAGGCATCGAAAATCAATGGGAAAGATGCACACAACGTAAGTAGTCAATTTTACGTCACATAGTGTTCGCGGACGGCCGGAATGAAGCCGGCACCCTGATGTGACTGCAATATCTTGGGACCATGGTACACGACAGTTAATCGTACAGCCCTAATTTAGGTAGTCTTTACGGAACAGACGAATATATTTCAAAATTTCATCTAAAATTTCATAAGTTAGCGCATTTACCGTAATTCATCCTGAGCTGGTACGCACGGTGGACATACAGTGCGTGACCGATCTCATGAAATGTTGGTCGAAATTCTGAAATGTATATTCGATTAGGAAGGATTACTTAGGTGGCTTAGAATTATTGATTAGCATTCAGCATAATCCTATAGCATTTCGGACTCATCAGGATGTCGGCTTTTGGCTGCGCTCCTTGTTCGCCTCCTGCAGAGACCGCGCTCTGCAAAAACTGACTACTTAAGTAGCATGCATTTTTCATATTGATTTTCGAGGGTCTTATAAATTCGAATATATTTTATAGAAAACGTGCAGAATAACATGCCTTCTTTTACTCATTTGGTAGAAAATGATATTGTCTTCATATTTTACACCTAAAGAAAGTTTATATTTAGGTTTTAGATAAGTTTTCCGATTCCCGAATAATTTTAAGCCAGATCTGCTATTGCACTAGCGTTTAGCGATTTCAGTTTACACGGTGCATGCATTCCACGTAAGGAAAGTCATATATTCCTCCTTGCCTTTAAGAAGATACCATGTAGAGTTCATAAAGTTTTGCAATGGATCCGGACTGTGCTGTACATTTCATGAGAAGCCTTGGTAAACGGACTGTGCGATGTTGTATATGCGGAGCTCGCACGGTTTTAAAAATCTCAATGAAAAACTTTTTTAAAACCTAATTATATACTTTCTTCAGATATAAAATATGAAGACAATGTGATTTTCTACCAAATGAGTAAGAGAAGCCATATTCTTGTGCACGTCTTCTATAAAATATATTTGAATTTATAAGACCCTCGAAAATCAATTCGAAAAATGCATGCTACTTAAGTAGTCAGTTTTTCAGAGCGCGGTCTCTGCAGGAGGTCAACAAGGAGTGCATCTAAAAGCCGACCTCCTGATGAGTCCGAAATGTTATAGGATTATGCTGCATGCTAGTCAGTATTACAACGCCAACTAAGTAATCCTCCCTATTCGAGGATACATTTCAGAATTTCGACCAACATTTCATGAGATCGGTGACGCACTGTAGTCGGAATTGAGGGTCGAACGGTCAGCAACTCGTGATGACCAGGATGTGTTACTGACTACGACTGAATATTTGGCAAGACACTAGAGCCTGACTCGGCTTGAGGGGTGGTCATGGCTAGATGGCGGCGTCAGACGGACCGTGCATAAGCTGCGGACATCTTCCAGCCAGTTGTCGCGGTCCCCTTTCAGCCCAGTCCGGTTTTGCTATTTCCTTTGTCTCACGAAACCTTATCAGGCCTCTTTTGAGGTTGTTTGCAAATGTCCGCGCTGGGTAATTTACGTAGGGGGAATGCACGCACTTTGCTAGCCGAGAGGTCTCTTGGCCGTATTGGGCGACTCCAATACTGTCTAACACATGTCCCCGCCGACGGGCTACGTTACGGATGCGCTGGCCCAGGACGGAGGTCAGACTCCTTCGTGACAAGTGTTCATCGGGCGGGGAGAGTCCGCGCGAGGCCAGCACTACTGTAGAACACGCGTATAGTGACGCGCGTTAGGCACAGGCCTTCACTCACCAACAATTGAGAGAGAGAGGCTCGCGCAGTCGGCTGGTGTATGCGATAGAGATGAGAGTGAAACCGACCCTGGGGAATGAATTCTCAAGGCACATCAGGGCATTATTCACTATGCAAATCTGACCTGTTTCAGGCTATCACGACGCACTAATGATCGTGGTTTGGGGGGCTGCTATCTGTCTGGCTAACTCGGTTCGCAGCCGCACCTGATGCAACCTCCATCGCACTCTCACGCACGTGAAATCCCAACCGTGCTCGTAAAAGCTTGGTATGCGCAGCAGTGCCCCCCAAACGGGCTACGCGGTAGATGCGCTAGACCAACACAGGGACTACATCGGTGTCCGACAGGCGTTGTCAGGAGTGTGCAGCCATAACAAATGTAAACATTCGGAGTGCAGTGGCAAGCCCAGTTGCTGGCTCACGCAGTGCCAATTGGGGTCGCTGCTGCCCCCTTCCCCCCTGTATTTGCTGTTTAGCATCCTGGTCTGTTTGCTGTTGACCAAGGGACACGGGATTACGTCGTGCCAACCGCCTGCGGCCCCTCCGACGCCCAGTCTTCTTGACTGTGCCATGACACCGGAGCCAGCTGGTGAGGAACTGGAGAGTGCGGTAGATGCCGTCTATTATCAGTAAAAACTTATTTTACATGTCTGAAGGAGCGCATCATTCTGTACAACGCTGTTTGAAAAAAGAAACAGTCCTCTTTTGACCGTGCTTATAACAGGATTGTGCTAGAGTGCACAGAGTTGGAGATCTCAGTGGATGGGGTCTCTGGCAATCCTCCCTGTGATGAATCTCCCCTCAAACCCGTGACAACAGTATCCTTCAATAGACCAACTGGCAAGAGATCGAACACCTCATTTGGGACTCTGCTGGCGGTTAAAAGAAGCCCTGCTGAACTAAAAGGAACATTACCGGACATTTGGAAAAAATTGTCCACTTGACCATAGCATCACACTGCGAGAGGACGTGGGCGTTGTCCATTAGCGCGTTGCGCGGAGCGACTTGCGGTAGCGGCCAGACCTTGAAAATCGGGACACGGAGATTTTTTTGGGGGGGTGGGGGGGGGGTGAGGGGGAAGACGTTGCGAGGAGAACAGTATCTGTAGGCATGGCGTGAGGGTTGGCCTAGGTCTGCCTAGGACAGAGGGTGTCACAAATTCCATCCCACGCGTTCGCCACCCTCATCGGCGTTGGCCAATCACGTGTTCGTTCCATTAGGAGTTGTTCAAAACACGCGCGATTGGGACCGACGTCGGATGCATCCGAGAGCACGCCAAGAGGCACTTACTGGGTGGTAATTAATCAGAAATTTTGTTAACGGACTAGTTATTATCTCTATAGGCAGTATTTAGACCTAAAAAGGGAATCATAGGTGGCGGTTCTCAACTGACGAGTCATCTTTCGAGACGGACGCTCGTCCTCACCCCTGACGGTGCGTTGTGAAGGAGCAACGACGCACCGCTAGTCATGTCAACGCCCTAAAACTAATCGATGCCATTGAGTGACTTGCTACGAACGTCACCACACTTGCAATCTCTAAATCATTACAAGGAGGAACAACGTTCCTTTGTAAATACTGCCAGCCCTCAGGGACCCGTGCTGTCAGCGAAGAGTCAGGCTCAGTGATCTGTTGGGCCTGGAGAGCCGGACTGAGACTGGCGTGCGACTGACTGACTATCGCTCCTGCATTTTTTGGGAAATGTTCGCAACTGTTGAGTACTCTGC